GGGGACCAAATGGGAGACTGTGACAAGGGACAGACAAGCAGACAAACAGGACACACAGTCACAGTATATTCCCACAAGCAAAATACACCATGTGAGACACTTTACAATAAAACTATACATTTAACATATCCCCAGATAGCTCAGGTCTGAGCGCACATTATTAAGCGAATGGCGCTCAGACCACACAAATACAGTTCAATCGCTATGGAGCCAAAGTCTTTACACAGTCAGTTTCATACGAATGGGCTCCATGGGATTCCTATCTGGGGTATAATATAGACAAGTAGAACTACCGAACACCGGCTGTTCGTGTACTTCCACCGAACAAGAAGGGAGGTCGGCGGCTTCAGCGGTGTTCGCGCAAAACTGTGTCCAATTTTTGTTCCATGAATTAAGCGTCGAACACCGCTGTGCATTCGTATGTTTAAAATGCCCGCGACCTCGTGTTCGGGATACGAATGGCGGCCACCCAGCATTCGTCAATTAAGCTGCGGTTAACCGCAGCTTCAGGGAGGTTAATTGCCGGCACACTCCAGCTCCCAGGTGGTCTATCCATTCGTGCAGTTGTTCAGTAGATTGAATCTACTGAACAACCGGCAGAAAAGCACGAATAAAGCTTTTCTGCAGGTGAAACAAAGTCTTTTAACATGGGGCCATAGTCCAAAGGCAGCAGGCGGGCAACCAGGCTTCTCCAATGCAATGTGGCGAGATTGATCTCTTCACAAGTAAATAAAATAAATAATTACATACCTAGATTAAAAAACAACAAAAAAACCCCATCTAATCTGTTAATGTATGTTGCTTGTACATGCTTATAATAGACAGAATTGTGATTTCTTATATTGTTAACGGTAATGGTCCTCACATTTGTTTGAAGAGTATTCAAGGGCCGTTAGCAGCACATTCTCTAAGGACAGGAAGCTACATACTTCCCCAGGGCACTACTGGGAAGCGCCTAGCCGGCTTTTCGGCTCTTTAGTTATATTTTTCTTTGTTTCACTTTTTGGCACAGGATGGGTGGCGCAGGGCTGTTTTCGCTGGGTGCCCTTTGTGCACTTCATTATTTGGTTTGTATGTTTCCGGTGACATTTGCGCAGGGGTCTCGACCACTAGGCGGGTTGGTTGGGGGCTACTGGATTGCAGTTTTAATGCCGTTCATTCACAGAGCTGCTTCACTCTGCTTAACAGAGCTGGGAGGAGTGGAGCTCTCTATAAAGCTTGAAATTTGTATACTCATACAGCACACAAAAATCTATGACCCACTGTGAAGATCTACTCGCATAATGTCAAAAGCCTCAATATACTAATGAAAAGGCACCTGTTGAGCCGTGAGCTCCGACCACAGCACATATGTCTACAGGAAACCCACTTTTGCACACAAGATCACCCGCCCTTATTGTCCAGGGATTACCCTATACAATTTCATTCAACTTCCTCTACTAAGTCAAAGGGTACATCCATACTTTTCAGCAAAAACCTATCTTTTCAGGCACACTCCCAAGACATTGCCACAAACGGACTGTACCTTATTTTAGTAGGCTCTATTAATGACATGATGTACACGATAGTATCAGTCTATGCACCAACTACAAATCAAATAAATATCCTCCGTATGGTATTGAAAAGGGTTGTAGCTATACGCCAAAGGATTACAATATTATGTGGGGATTTCAACCATATCCTTGATCTGGCATTAGACACTACCCTTTCCCCACAAAAAGCTAGATTTGGACCCCTCAAAAGACAGTGTAGAGCGCTGTAAAAACTCTTTTTTTTCCTGCATCATTACTATAAAGCCTGGAGAGCTTCCCACAGGACTGAAAAATCTTGTACCTACTTCTCACATATACACAACTCATATTCCCGTCTCGATGCATTCTTCGTGTCAGGATCACACCTTAACCAAATAGACCGCTGTGATATTACCCAAATCACCTGGTCAAACCATGCTCCGGTCACCTTGGAAGTCTTGGAAGAACTTGTATGATTTTAAACATCGGAGTCAGTGGAGACTGAATGACTCTCTATTACAAAACAAGGAGTTTACAGGTAAAATAGATGAGGCCGTTCGAAATTATTTCCTAGATAACGAGACCCCTGAGGTATCTATCAATATGATATGGCAGGCACACAAAACAGTGGTAAGGGGACTTTTTATACAAAGAGCTGCTGCACTACGTAAACAGTCTCAGGCAGAATTGAAGCAATGGCAAAAGGACCTTTATGCACTAATTGTGCAAAACCAACTAACACCATCTCTATCCCTTAAAAGCCAGATCCTGACCCTGACGAGACTTCTTCACCAGCAGGCTCTCGGGACACTGGTTATCAGATTAAACGCCTCAAAGCCAATGTTTATGCTCAGGGGAACAAGGCAAGTAAGCTCTTAACCGCTAGATTAAAGGTGAGACAAGCCTCTCAAAAGATCGCATATCTCAATGCGAACGGGAACCAAGATACATACTCCGAAAGATATCATTGACGAATTTGTGTGATACTACGCAGATCTGTACAATTTAAAACAGGACCCCCAGCTATGTCAACCGCAAGAGTGAGGATACAGCTCACTACCTGATGGACCTTAATTTACCCCACTTGACCACAGCACAGCAGGCAGACTTGACCGGTCCACTGTCGGAACATTAGGTGGTTGATGCTATTAGGGCACTGCCATCGGGTAAAGCACCCGGACCTGATGGCCTGGACAACCTCTACTATAAAAAATTCAGCATCATGCTAGCTCCTCACGTGGTTGCACTGTTTGTGAACGCTGTCACCACTGAACATTTATTTACTGATATACTTGCGGCACATGGTGTCACACTACCTAAACCAGGTAAACCACCTACCATACCTCAAAACTTTAGGCCCATATCACTTTTAAATATGGACGCTAAACTGTTCGCAAAGATATATGTAACCCGACATATATTTGACCCCATGTAATTGATTCTGATCAAGTGAGTTTTGTGACAGGATGCCAAGGAAATATATACATCTGTACAACACGCGTGCCCACCAAAGTGGGTAAGAAGATATATAAAATATGAATTACCCTTCTATTATAATAGATTGTAAGAAGCTCCCTTAGATCGTCTTTTAGTAGACATACAAAAAAATACAATCTAAAAATGGGGAAAGAAATAACAAATAATGGTGCAGTAAATAAAAACACCAAAAAGCGCTAGTGACTAAAATGCACTCACTAGATAATTATTGATTGCAGGTATGTATAAAATTAGAGATCGAAGGAGCTTGATCCTCTTCTCTCTTGTCCTTGAGAGGGATTTAAGAGAGAGACAGACATAGTGCACCAATTAAATAATAACTTGAAAATATATTATGATTGCACTCACAAAACGTATGAATAAATCCAGCGTGTCACAATGTATGTCGTTCCAGACCAAAGACTTGAAGGGGAATCCCTCAGGGTCAGGAACAAAAAATGTGAAGCAGCCAAAAAGACGATTTCAAATAAACATAAAACAACAAATGAAAACTAATTGAAGGAGCTGTGTGGGTCTCTCCGTTCTATGCGTTTCGTCTTAGTATGACTTCGTCAGGGACATCTGAAGGTATATAACCTGATCTCCTCCATTCTCCTTTTGTAAGTAGTTTTGCACCTTCCCATCGTGCCTGCAGCCAATCGGATGGCGAGATTGAAAGTAGATTCAGATGTTTCCATCCCCGTGTATGTGTTCTGCAAAAGTCTTAAAACTGATCTAAAATATTATGACATGTAGGAAGATGTCTGAATACGGAAATTAATTAATGTAGATTGGAAAAGGAAAAATCCTCATAGTGGGGGAGAAAATCAGAGAGTAGGTTTGATTAAAAATGTGGACTAAAATATTATGGTAGAAAAGGAATCAAATCTAAAAACGTGATAAATTATAAAAATATTTTATAAAAAACATACCATGTCAAAATCCACATTTAGACCTATTGGAGTAAATGTCTTAAGTGTAAAAACCCAATAGCCCTCTCTCTGTCTTAATTTTTTGATCAAATCTCCACCACTATCGTCAAGGACAACCCTCTCTACACCAGTGCACAAAAAAGTGTCAAACTCAGTGCACAGGAACTGAGTGAGTTTTCAGATTTTTCTTTGTTGTTACAATGTTCAAGAAATCTGACTTTCAAAGCTCTATTCGTCCTGCCTACATATTGAATGCCACATCCACATGTTAATAAATAAACCACATTGGTGCTATGACAGTTAATGTGTTCCTTAATTTCAAAAGTCTCCCCTGTTTGTTTACTTTAAAACATTTTTTGGGTGAGAAACCTACAGCCCTTACATCTTCCACATCTATAGAAGCCTTTCTGAGTGGTGTTATTTATAGCTTTAGTTCTAAAAGTATGCGGGGCCAACAAGTTATTAAAATCTCTGCTCTTTCTGAAAATCATCTTAGGAAATGTCGGAATCTGTTTACTTAAAAATTCATCTTCTAGTAAGAGAGGCCAGTGTTTTTGTAAGACCTATTTTATCTGAGGGGCATGAGCGTTATATTGTGTGATAAAAGATAGGCCAAAATGCTCTTTGGAGTTAATTTAAATTTTATCTTTATCCATTAGAAAAAGGTTTCTATCTAAATCTTTGCATTCCGTCTATTTCTTGATCTAGAAAAGGAGCGGAATACCCCTTTTCTATAAAGTTTTAACATTTTTTTAGAATTGCAGATTGTTCCAAAAAACAACTTTTCATTAGTGCAGTTTCTTTTTAGTCTCGTAAATTGGCTACGGGGAATACCACGTAGCCAATTTGGATTATGTGCACTTTTTGTGTAAATAAAAGAGTTAGAGTCAGTAGGCTTAACTTAGGTCTTCATTTTAAGCGTAGAGTCCTTTATATAGATAGTTAAATCTAAAAAAGTAATGTCACTAGAGTTAATTTCCAGAGTAAAAATTAGGGACTGGTCGTTATTATTGATGAAGGTTAAAAAGTCTTGTAAAGAATCTAATGTGCCCTTCCAGATAATTAAAATATCATCTATATGGGGGGCGGGGCCTGGCTGCCAACCGAGATGGCCGCATGCAGAGTGTGCTCCGTGTAAAACACTCCAGCAGAGCCCTAATTCAGAACCTTTACATTAGCAAACTCGACTACCTGAAAGCAGGCAAAAGCAGACTTTACTTCTGCAACACCTGAAAGACTCCTGGACACAAAATGAGCAGCCTGTTCTCGGCACACAACTGCGGCCTACATGGGGGTGCTGGCGTGGAAGAAGTGGCCTATCTTCCTGCTGGCTATCCGACTGCTAAAGGTGGACGCAACAGGGGCTCCCGTCCCCCCCCTTGCCGGTGGGGGTTATCCCGGCACCAGCACTCACACCGCAATCACGACCACCCGGTGGCCCTGCGACACAGCACATGTCCCTGCTGGAAGAATCGGCGGAAGCCAAGATGGCGGGCGCAAGACCCCACAACTTGCCACAAGGCCCGAGGGAAACGACTCTCGCTAAGCTGGATGTACTACTCACAGAATTTTGGCGCAAGCTCGAAGAGAGGCAACAGAGTGCCTGCAAGCTAGACCACTCACCTCTGGCTGCTGACATGAAGAGCCGAAACCAGCCCGCACCTAAAGCACCGGAGGCCCACAGACAGGAAGCCTCCACTCGACGACCACACGCCGCATGGGTCGGCCGCTCCTCCGTAGCTACACATGCACTCGCTCGCACTAAGAAGAGGAGGACAGTCCGTAGGAGGAGTGCAGTTCCAGGAAAGCCAACTCACCGGCAATACCTCATCAAGCTACAAGCCACCAGGCAAACCACCGCCGCAAAGCAGAAAGTGAGGAGGCCGGCTGGATGCCACCAACTCGCTATGGCTGAGCCCTACCGCCATCGGCACACCTTGCACCCTTTGAGAGATCCTGCCCATCACAAAGAGAGGCACCAAGGAAGAGGGTCGCTGTCCCAGGTGATGATTGACGCTACTCCCCAAGCCTGCACCTACCTGTGTTCACCAGGGACGGACAAGGTCCTGTACCTACACTGCCTTACTGGACACTCCACTGGTTGGGACTGTAGATACCCACTGAGGGGCATCGGGTAGTTGTAAACGCAGGGTCATATCCTGCCACAGGCCTCCCACCACATCAGGCCACACACAGCAGTACTTACCCTAACTAGCTTAAAATGGCTTCACCATAGCTTGATACTTAACACCTCTGGCTGAACAGGCACCCTGTACCGTTATTATGCTCCAATGTTCCATATTATCATACACTGCATATATAAGTTTCACACCTAAGACATGTTTAAGCCTGACAGCCACTATATATCTGTGTACTATCCAGCACACAGGGTAGAATAAAATGTCCTGTTAAACCTGTTTCTATTTTGCTAACTAACTTACTTAAAACACCTGCCTACCTAACCTGTGCTCCACTTCTCTAGCCTGTAACACTTCAAGATTTATATTACAGCATATAATGAAGCATGTCTCTTTAACACATAAAAAAGTGCAATTGTTTCTCATGTCATGGCACTGAATGCAAATGTTTGTTTATATTAAGCTTGCTGATGTTGTCGTGGCAATGCAAGCCTGTATGTTCATCTTTTGTTGCAAAATAAAGATTTAAAAAAAAAAAATCATCTATATATCTCCGCCAGAGCACCAAGTTTGCGCTTAAAGGATTATTGTTCCAGATGTTAAAAGTTTCCCAGTTATCCATAAAAATATTCGCATAACTGGGCGCAAACTTGGTGACCATGGTGTTACCTTGGACTTGTAAATAAAACTCTCCATTAAAAATGAAAAAAGTGTGCGTTAAAATTAATTTGATATTGTGTAAAATAAATTGACTAAAAAGAGAGGAGATATCTTTATCGGATTCCAAACCCGTTTCGTGGCCTTAAGTCTCTTTTTATGGTCAATGCACGTGTAGAGAGAAGTGACATCCAGAGTCGCCCACACATAGCCTTCCCTCCGTTCTATGCATTCTAATTCTTGTATTAAACTTTTAGTGTTCTTGAGATAAGATATCACGTTTTGAGCATACTTTTGGAGGGAGAAAGCTACGAATTCTGCCAATCTGGATGTCAATGAGTCCACACCGCTAATAATTGGACATCCTGGAGGCTGTGAAATTGACTTGTGGACTTTAGGAAGAAAGTAAAACGTAGGAATTCTGGGGGAGTCTAAAAGGAGAAAAGAAAATGTTTTATCATCTAGAACATCTTTACTTTTAAAGTCCAAAAGAAATTCTTTTTAAATTCGACTAAATTTCAAATTTGGATTCTCCTTCAATTTAATGTACGTACTTACATCTCCCAGAAGTCGATTAGATTTTTTTTTAAAGTAATATTGGGTGGGCATGACTACTATCCCACCTCATTTATCCCCATTCTTAATCGCCATGGGTCTGAGAACACCTGTAAGGTGGTGAACGTGATGCACAGTTTCAGAAAATCATGTTCGGGGGGCTTGTTGGTGTCCCTTGATGCGGAAAAGGCCGTTGACCGTCTGCATTGGGGTTCCTAGAGGCGGTGCTACTTAAATTTAGCATCCCTGGGGGATTCCTGTCAGTGGTGAGCGCCTTGTATAGCACTCCGACGGCGCATGTGCTCAATGCCGGGTTTCTGTCTAACCCCTTCACAATAACAAATGGGACAAGGCAGGGCTGCCCTATATGTTCTGACCTTAGAACCTTTAGCACAGAAGATTAGAAGCCACACTTCCATTCACAGGCATCCAGATAGGGGGATGGGAATATAAGGCAAATTTATTTGCAGACGATGTGCTACTGACTCTGACATAGCCCAGGGTTTCCCTCTCAAATCTATTACAGACAATAACAGAATACGGCAAACTATCTTATAAATTACCGTATTTATCGACGTATAACACGCACTTTTTCTCCCTGAAAATAGGGGAGAAATTGTGGGTGCGTGTTATACGCCGGCCCTTTAAATACTGCAGCCGCCTGAGCGCTCTGTCAAGAGCGCTCAGGCGGCTGCAGTTGGTTCTCACCTCCCCTGT